TAGGGCTAAAGCTTATTTTTTTAATACTTAAAGAGAAGATACTATTTTTTTTAATATTTAAAAAAAAGAAATAAAATACTAAGTAAATCTAAAGGTAATTAGAGGGGCCTTTTTTATATTACTTAAATTATTTAAATACTAAGCTCATATAAGTATTTTATATAAGTAAAAAGTACGGCCTAAATAATTTCTAAAGGATTATTTTAAATACTAAAATATCGTAATAGTTAATAAGAGGAAAAAAGTAATTTTAAGTATTATAAAAGATTATATTAATAATACTTAATATATTAATAATAAGTATTACGAAAATTAGCTTTAGCCTAAGTAAAGAAATTATTACCCTAAGTATAGTAAAAATAGAGACGTATTTTAGAATAATAACTTTTTATATTTTACTTATTAATACTCTATTTCTCTTATATTTAAAAAATATAAATTAACTAAGTATTATATTTAATAATATAAAAAATAGAATTTTTAGTAATAAGTATTTTAAGATAGTTAAATAATAATAGGGGTATATATTTATAAAGCTTATTAATAATACGAAGTTAATTAATTACTTAACGGAAAATAAGCTTAGATAACTATACTAGAGATTTAAGTACTCGTTAGTTACGAGGCTATATAACCTCTTAAAATAATTAAGTAATAATAATATTAAAATAGGGGCGCTAAAGTAGTTAATAAAAATATATTATTAATACTAAATAAATACGTAGAGCCTACGTAAATTTAAATTTAAATTATATAATAAGCTTAACTTTAATTAAAAAATCGTTATTAATATTTTCTACTTAAGTAATTAGCTAGTCCTATATATAATTAACGTAGCTATATCTTTTTAAATAGGGTAATTTTTTTAGGATTTATAAATAAAAATAGTATAAGTAGCCTTACGAAAGGAATAGATCGATATATATTAAAGACTACTAAATAGTATTAGAACTAACGTTAGTACTAGCTTTAAATTAGTAAAATTTAAAAAAAATATAACGGTATATAATATATAACTAAAAGTCGTACTTATTAAGGCGTATTATAATATTAAAAAAGTAAAAAGGGTATATTAGTAATTAAAAAGGGCGTTTAGAATTATTAAAAAAAAAATCCGGATTTTATTAATAACAAATACTTTTAAATAGTACTTAAATACTATAATAATATTATAGGGCTTAACGGCCTTATATTAATACTATTAATATTTAAAGTATATTTAAAAACGACCTTAGTTTCGCTATTATTATTAAATATAAGCTAATAAGCCTAAGTAATTAAAAAAGTAATATAAATATTATATAAAATAAGCGTAAAAAGTAAGTTAATAAAGTAATTATTATATATAATAGGCCTAATATAAAGGGTAATTTAAATATATTATTAAATTCGGATATATAAGTATAGCATAAAATTACTTAATAATAAGCTAAGCTATATAAATTAATTTTTATTAATAAGCGCTCTTATATAATTATAAAAGATCGTAACTAGTTATTTAAAATATTAATTATAATAATTAAACCGTATTATATAAATCTTAATAAAGCAATTTTTAATTTATAAAAGAAAAAGAGCTAGAGAGAACTATATAACTTATAATAAAAGTATAAAATTTTTTTTTTAATAAAATCGTTATAATAGTATTAATAAACAATAAAAAAAAGGAAATTATTAAAAAAGTATTAATATTATTAATAAGACGTTATACAAAATTATAATAATAAGCTTTAATATAATAATTTATTATTAGTAACGAGGTAATTAATACTTTTTATATAATAAAGAAAAAAGCCGATTTTAAGTTAATAATTAAATTACGTAAAAAAGGCGTAATTATAATTATTAAAAAGCCGTATAAAGGATTAGATCTTATTAAAATAAATACTTTTTATAATTAAGGGGTCTATCGATTTATTTTTTATAACTTAAAGAAGTATATAAACCTCTATATATTTAAATTACGAATAGTTTATAAGATTAAAAAAAAAGAATACCCTAGCTATATAAGAAGTTTAAATACGTAATTTAAGGATATAATAATATTAAAAAAGTAACGCTACTTATATAATTACTTACTATATAGCGCTATAGCTAATAATTAATAATAATATTAATAGTATTATTATAAAAAAAGGGATATAAAATTTAGAATTATAATATTACCTAAGCTTATACCTAATTAGCTATAGGGCTTATAAAAAAAATCCTAGCTTATTTATTAAAAAAAATAGTTAATAAGTACTTAGAAAGTACGATTATTAAAATACTTAAGCTACTATATAAGCTCGTAAAATCGAGTACTTATTAATAAGCTACTTATTACGATTTTTATATTAATTAATTATTAATAATTACCTTTACGTACGACCCGTACTTATTAATTTTTAAATACGAAGGTAATTAATTTAGGATTATTAAAATATAAATTAATAATATATTAAGCTTATTTAATATTAATTTTATAAAAAAAGAGGATAAGGAGCTTTAAAAAGCGGGCTTTATAATAAAGCTAAAAAAGGTCTTTATAATAAATACCCCCTTAGTTTTTAATAATAGGATTTTTATAATTAAAAAGGAAACCGTCGTTTTTTAATAAAAGGGGTAGGGCGAGAAAATTAACTTTATTAATTTAAATATAATTAATATTAAAAAATAATATAAAACTAAGCTTATATAAGGGGTATATATTATAAGTATTTATTAGCCCGAGGTAATTTTTAATTATATTAAAATAATATAAATTATAAATTTAACTAAATAAAACGTTAAGGTATTGAATAAATAGCTTAAGTAATAATAAATAAATCTTAATCGAGGCTTTATTTATTACCTAATTAACTTTATAATTAATAAGCTTTATATTTTTATTAATAAGTTATTTATAAATAATAATAAGTTTATTTTATAATTAAAGTATATTATTATCCTAATTAACGAGAGTATAAGTAAGAGCGAATTTACTATATATAGAAATATAATTTATTACTTATTAATTAAAAATAAGCGAGTAATAAGAAGTATATTAGTATTAAAAGTTTATAATATAGTTAACGAGGTTAACTTCTCTTATGTAATTTTAATAATACTAAAGAAAATTACTAATTAACTTAGTTTTTTACCTATTTTAATAGTTATTTATATTAATTTATACTCGCTATATAAATACTTTATTAAATTAGGGATAATAAAGGAAAAGAGGCTTATAATTAATATTATAGCCCTTAAGTAATTATATAAAAAGCGTAAAATACTCGAGATTTATTAAATTAATAATAAAAATAATTTTATAAACGCTTTTATAAAAATAATATTAAATAAGGGATTAGAGTAATTTATAAGTAATAAAAAAGTTATTATATAAATAGAAAAATAAGTTATATAAAAAAAATAAAAAAAAAGGGAAAAAAGAGATAACTTAATAAACGGGCCTAAGGTCGAATTATGTCTCTAACTATAATAATTAAATTAATAAAAAAAAAAAAAGTTAGTATTAAATTAAAAATTTAATTTAATTATAGTATATAACCGACTATATAGGGGCTAATTAAGGGCCTTATTTATAATTATTATAACTAGCTTAACTTATAATTAGAACCTCTTTTTTATACTTACTACGTAAATATTTATATAATTTAATTAATCTCTTCGTTAACTACGGTTCGAACTAACTACCCTATAATAGGGATACTAACAATAGCTCCTCTTTATATTTAATCGAGCCTCACCGAATCGCATTTATCCGCAGCCTAATAGACGGGCCGGCCTAATATAAAATACGATACCAATGTCAAACGGAACAACCTCGCAGCTTCTTAGCAAGCGAGGAATTTCTAGAGGCCCTTGAACAAGTGTATAGCGACGGATAAGAGGAACCGAGCAATCATTTACTTACGTAAGGTAGCCTACGTATGGGAAGAAGGACTTTGAATCACTTCTATGTCGATATTGCTCGTTGCGCAGCAGGGATCGGGTATGCGGACGACGGTATAATCCCACTGCTGGAGAATGCCATCTCTGATGAGTTGGCCCGGAAGGTCATCTACTTGCGCGAACCTACGGACTATTACGACCCGGTATACCGACTTTCACCGGGACATCGACCACCAGGACGGAATTACGACAGAAGGTTTGCCGACCGGATGAGGAATTTCAGGGCGAATTCCTAACAGGAATAACCCCAGGGGCGACAACAGAGACCGATGGCCACTTCTAATAAGAGGTTCTCGCGCCCCATAAGCTAATAAGCTATGCATACTAGGTTCCAGCCAAAGCTCACGCTACTGTGCGTGATTCCTCGGTATTGAGACAGTAACCTGGTAACGGAAATGGGGATCTTGACGAGGTCTGGCGCGCTGCTGGACAGAGAGCGTTAATAACTGCAAGCCTGCGGAAACATTGAGGTTTCTGCTATGGTGCCACTACCGGTCTGGCCGGTCAGCACTATAACCTAGTTTGGAATTTATGTAGGGAATATCGGTCAGTACGTTTTGCTTACTCACCACTAGCCTAAGGAAGGATCATACATAATCTGCTCGTAGTGATGATACTGGTTAGCCTGCACGTGATGAAAGCTTGTGTTGCAGATCCGACCACGAAGCTCAAAATTGGATACGTACTAATTATTCTGTATGTTCGCGTCTTTTGTTGTCGCCGTGAGGCACCGAGAGGGCCGAGCAATTGTGATGTCATCAAAGCAGAAAGTCGCCGCGCCTTCGCGCCCTCGGCACCGCGGAGCTCCGTCATGGGCTTTGATCCACGAATTAATCTGAGAAATCGGGGAAATCGCTCTTTGTCTTGAGGAATACTTTCGTCGCTTTGATCCATTATGGCCGTCTCTCATCATCAGCAAAGACTATTACAACTCTCAGACTCTCGGCAATATCTGCACTTGCATTGCGCAGCTACTTAGCTATAATTTGTGGGCAATACCGTCAAACATACCATCGAAAGCTAATCCAAAGCTAAAGCTCTCGTATTGTTTTTTTTTTTTTTCCAAAATGCCAAAAAGCACGAGAAATATCTCAAAAGAGACCATAAGCAGTCTCTCCGATGCGCCAACACCGCTTCCAGGCAAAGTCCTCCAAATCAGATCCGGAAAAGTCAAAACTCTCGTCACCGAACCGTCCGGCATCTTCAAACAAGTCCAGCAAGGGCGTATCTTCATCAACGAGCACGGCATCGGCAATGACAAGCACGTCTACCCCATACACTGGAGTACCGAGCGTGCTCTGCACCAGTACGCCTCGGAGCACTATGAGTCCTGGCGGTGCGAGGACGGCTGTCCCAAACCGGAGCTCTTCGATTACGGCGCCTTTGGGGAGAACATAGTTGGCACCAACATGAGCGAAGAAAATGTTTGCGTCGGCGACGTCTACCGCATCGGCAGGGATGTCGTGGTTGAAGTGAGCGAACCTCGCAGCCCGTGTTACAAGCTAAATTTGCGCTTCGAATGGGGCAGAGCTCTAAAGCGCGTCAATCGCACGGCGCGAACGGGGTGGAATATGAGAGTTAGAACGGCGGGGTATATATGCGCGGGTGACGTGATGGAGCTCATGGAGCGTCCTCATCCGCGATGGTCGATTCTCAATATCAAGCGCGTGATCCAGGGGAAGGACGTTGCGCTGCCTTTGGTGGCGGAGCTGTGCAACCTGAGCGTGGTGACGAGCATGGTCCGGGAATTTGCGCTGAACCGCTTGCAGTCGACGCCGAAAAGATACGCAGTCGTGGATATCACACCCGTTACTTCGCGAGTCAAACAATTCACCTTTCAACTCCGAGAACCTTTCACGATCAACGAACCCACCTTCAAAGAGTTCGCGTTTGCGCAGATTGAATTCGGAACGGATGATGAGAGGTATTCGCGGTCATACTCGATTGTATCAGGCGACCTGAACCGGTTTTCCCTTGGCGTGGCCCACGACGATCATTCCAGGGGAGGATCGAGGTATCTACACATGAAGCTCCAAATAGGCGATATAATCACCATGGCCCCTGGCGGGGTCCCAAAGGCTGTAGAAGACGAACAGAAATGCGTGGAGGAAGGACTGGTGGACAGACGACTTGTCATAATCGGAGGTATCGGCGTGACAGCATTCCTCCCAAAGATTGCCCAGTGGAAGAAGGAGGACATCGACTACGAAGTACATTACGCAGCGCGAAACCGCGAAGAGGCTGCATTCCTGAACCGCTTCCCTGGCGAGAACATGACGCTATATGCTAAGAACGAAGGCAGACGCCTAGACTTGGATGTCCTGATTCCGGGCTCTGATAAGGATGGAAAACACACTACGAGAATTTACTGTTGCGGCCCAGAAGGATTGATGAAAGCCGCTCAGAGACGAGCTAGGGAGATGGGATATCCAGATCACATGCTGCATTTCGAAAGCTTCGGAGTGGATTCCGCATCAACGAGGGGCAAGCCTTTCACCGTTGAAGTGAATGAGCTCGAGTCACACCGGAAGAAGACATTGGACGTGCCCCCCGACAAAACGCTGCTAACGGTATTACGGGAGGCAGGCTTTGATATGACCTTCTTCTGCGAAATGGGCGGCTGCGGTGCTTGTAAAGTCACTGTTTGTGACGGCAAGGTTGATCACAAAGGAACGGCTCTCTACCCTGAAGAGAAGAAACGCAACATGCTCAGCTGCGTTAGTCGTGGAAGTGGACACATTAAGATAGAGTTAGACTAAGCTAGAATGTACATTCAATTGGAGGTTTATTTCTTTATAGTTATTCCGGCATGACTTTTCCTCGTGTAGTGCCCCAGGGTGGCTATGACATTGGTGGCTACCACATGCCAGCTGGGGTAAGCATCCCCTTGATCACCACAGCCCGAGGCCATCACGCACTTTTAAACCTGCTAATAGCTTTTGTTTTTCTTAGTCTGTCGTCGGCTTCAACCCTTGGGTTGTTCATCGTAGCAAGGAAGAGTATGGCCGAGATGTTTACGCGTTTCGGCCTTAGAGGTGGCGCAAAGGGGACAATGGCGACATGCGTAAGTTTCCCTGACGAGTTCTGTCTCCAATATTCGACCAAACTCTTCATAGAACATTTCTTCTTTGCCTTTGGATCCCGAACTCGAGTGTGCCTTGGTCGAAGTAGGTCTCGCAAGCATCGAGTTCAAAGGTTCTGCTAACTCATTAGCGTAGATATCAGTCAGATGAAGATGGCCAAAGTCCGATCCCCAGACGTCCGTGACTGGGACCATTGCTGAGGAGGTGGCTATATAGCTTACCCCAACCCTCTCCCTATACTTCGATCTCGAGCTTACTAGCCCTAAGGCAATTTCGGAGGGAAAGTGCTAGTAAGTACCCCACTATGAGTGATGTACTTGAATGGTTTATTGACCATTGTTCCAGTTGGCTCGTTTCCCCTTCAGTAGCAACTGGCTCTAGGCTGGAAAATCTAAGTTCATGCCCTCATCGGGTCTGCTCTGACATGATTAAGACCTTTAATGCACCAACGTAAATCATCAACCTCATACTTAAATTGCTCAAGTTGGTATCTCATGAATCAAATTTCAAAAACCCAGTTTTTCAAGAAATTTGTCTCTTGTGTAATCTTGTGATCTGCTTACTCTGGCCTCTTTGCTGTCATGCCCTCATGTTCAAGTCCGTCCTCATGTGAGATTTATCACGTACCTGATTAGGTAGACAAAATCCACTCAAACTAGACCTTTGAAGTGGCGTGCTCCGTTTCTACCACGTCAATAGGACCATCTCCCTTCCCATTTTCCGCAATCCGAACGTTCGCTTCTTCACCATCAAAGATGACGGCAATCTCTTCCAAAGCCTTGCCCTTAGTCTCCAAGAACCACCCATAAGCGATGCAAGCCTCCACAGCTAAGATAGCAACATAGACTATATAGAAGCGCCACCCAATGTTCTGGATGCCGATCGGGTTTACGTATTGGTTGACAAAGACGGCAGCTTTGGTCGAGAAGACGTATGTTGCCATGCCCTTGGCGCGGATGGAGTACGGTAGGACCTCCACAGAATAAGCGACCGGCAAGGGCGAGAAGGCGATGCAGTAGAAGACTTGGTAGATGAAAATCAGCGCCATGACGGCGATACCGGCGGAGCTGGCACTGGTTTCGGCGAATCGAGCTGAGGCGATGGTCCAACCGATAAAGACTACGAGCATACCGCAGGTCGAGATGCGGAAGAGGGGACGGCGGCCGATGCGTTCCACGAAGAATGCAGTAGTCAGGGCAAGGCCGAAGTTCCAGATGTTGAGTAAGCCATTGACTAGAGCTTGTGTGTTCTTGTTCGTGATACCGACGGTGTCCATGATTCTCGAGAGGTCTAGTCCGCATCAGTCAACGTCCAAATCTCACTGAAGTAATGGGGAAGTTTCGTCTTCTACTTACAATAAGCAATCAGGCCGTTACCAGACCATTGGGAGAAGAATCCCATGCCTATTGTTAGCGTCAGTATGGAAATGGAACTAGATTCTTGTATGCTTGGACGAGATTCTTACAGACGACAAGGAACATGCGGTATCGGTTGCCTTTCGTCTTAACCATTGATGCCCAAGTTGTACTTCCAAGTCCTTCAATGCGATTAGCAAATGCGTCAAGACTTCATGGAATCTCCAAACTTACTCTTCTCATTGTCGATAGCAGCTCTGATCTCTTCAAACTCCAATCTGACCAGCTCCGTCTCTTCGCCTTCGCCGTGGTATTGCTTCAAGGCCTCCATGGCCTCGTCCCCACGATCGTGTGAGATGAGCCAACGTGGAGACTCGGGAACAAACCAGATGGCTGCGAGCTGCACCACACTAGGTGCCATCTGAAGAAGAGACGGAATTCGCCAAGACCAGGTGCTAGGGATATTTCGAGTACCAAACGTGATCCATGCCGCCGCGATACTACCGACATACCAACTGCCAAGTCCACGTCGTCAGCCCTTGGTTCTTAATTTTCTCCAATTGATTGCTTAAGATGATAGTACATACCAGGTATTGCAGATAGCCGTGATGGTGACGCGATCCTTGGGGTGCGACAGCTCGCTGACCAAGCTCGGCGCCGAAGTCGTCGCAAAAGAAAGACCGAATCCGAGGATGAATCTGCTCACGACAAACATGGCAAACGCGGTACTCTCGCACTGCAAGATTGCACCAATAATCATGATACAACTTCCCGTCGTGATACCCCATCGTCTTCCAAACTTATCAGCGACCCACGGAGCGATGGGTGTCGAGCAGATGCTCCCCAAAGCCATGATGGCACTCATCAAGCCGAGGACCGCCCCGCGCGGGTTGTCGAAGAAGTCGTCAAAGTAGGAAACGGTCTGGAGGGAGTTCATCATCGAGCCATCGTATCCGCTCGTGGCGTACGAGACGACGGCGGCGGGGAAGAGGAGGAAGTAGAGCTTTCGGCGGGCGGCGGATTTGTACCATGTGGGAGACTCCTGGGCGAGTTGGGCGATGCGAGAGGGTTGGTAGCTCTCGCTCGCGGCCGCCGGTCCGCCTTGCTGGCGAGCTCGTCGGGCTTGCTGGTCTTGCCTCGGGGCAGGGAGGCGTTGGCGGAGGAAGTTCATTGTGGCAAGTAGTATCGTAGAAGAACAGAGAAGTTGACAAGAACTAAGCCGGGAGAAAGGAGGCAAGGTTGGCTCAGTAGTGGAGATGAACTTATGAGTTGAGAACCGAGACCAGATAGCCGGGATCTTCGTGTCCTTATATGCCCGTGACCAAGTTGTCCTGTCGAGGTGGGACGATGTCAACAACTCTTCTGGAACGCTTCGAGACTTTGCCAGGTTTTGCTGGTTGGATTGGTCTCAAGCAGTCTTGCTAGGTGACGGCGTTACGAAGTCGGCAGATGGGCTTAGGAGGAGAAGTATTCCGATCGAGCGATATTACCATTGGCGCGGAAAGCTAGCCCTTCACACTCACACACGACAATGTTAGCAGAACCGTACGCTTGGGACGCAAAGGCTCTGCCTGCCGAAGAGGACTTGGGAACTATCGGTACAAAGACAGGGGTTTGGCAAGTCGGATGATGGGATGCGGAGAAGATCCGGGGGCTGGGGTAAAAGCAAACTTGGTCCCCACATCCGGGGCATCACGAGATGAAGTTGTCTGGACGAGTCTCCATGGGGAAACGAACCATTAGAAGTTGCGGATGAAGTCAAGCTCGCCTGACTCGTCCGATTGTTTCCGTAGAACGAAGGGCAGCAAACCCGTGTAAACTAGTGAGAACAACACCAGTTGTGTAGCGTCGGCCGACGATAGTGTGGAGTACGTATGAGATCCCTGGCTCCTCTTTTCCACAAGATTGGCGAATCATGAACCTTCGGGGGAACTAGATGCTTCCCCCGGTCTGGTCTGGGCGCCATCGGGGCATCCAAAACCTTCCCCCTAGCGTCCTTTGACTCCTGCGGCTGATGTCGTCCGTCGTCTAAGCTATGCGGGGCATCCAAATGATTCCCCCGAGTTGGGGAACGTGGGAACGTGGGGTCGGGGAAGCGTCGAAGTCTGCCCCGAAGGTCCAACGCGGGGGACTCTAAGTCGCGTGTTGGCCTTCGGCGGCGCGTATGTACGAGTTCGGTCAGCCTATGCTTTACTCAGAGATAATGGGACGTCATGGGGCCTGTTGTGTGGACCTAATGCAAAGACTCCGCAATGAGAGTGACGGATCGTACGAAGCTCTGGCTTGGAACCGTTGCGCGTATGCGAAGGGTCCTATTTAGGAGCTGGACTTGCCGTTGGGGTCGGTTGGTCCCTGTCCCTTGATTCTGCCATCCTCGCTCATTTTGATTCAATCTGATTGCAGCAATGTCAAACGGAATCCTCAGAACGTCCGGCTCCAGCATTGTCGATGCTGAGGGCAAGCCTGTCCTTCTCCGCGGCGTAAGTGTCTACCACTTTATATCCAGAATGCAACTGTCCGAAGGCCCATTGCTGACTGCCTATCGCGATACAGACGGCCCTCGGTGGCTGGATGCTGATGGAGAACTTCATGAACGGCTTCCCCGGTCGTGAGCACCAGATTCGTGCAGCACTGCTGAAGGTGCTCGGCAAGGAGAAGTGCGATTTCTTCTTCGACAAGTTCCTCGAATACTTCTTCACCGAAAAAGACGCCGAATTCCTCGCCTCAATTGGCTTCAACTGCATCCGCCTGTCTTTCAACTACCACCACTTCGAAGATGACATGAACCCCTTTGTGATCAAAGAGGAAGGCTTCAAGCATCTTGATCGCGCAATTGAAATCGTAGGTTCCTCCAACGTTTCTCAGAGTCTTCTTCTCGACTAATGTTTCTTCTTGTAGTGCGCCAAGTACAAGATCTACACAATTCTCGACCTCCACTCCGCTCCTGGTGGCCAGAACCAAGATTGGCACTCAGATAACCCGACCGGATACGCCGCGTTCTGGGACCACAAGCATTTCCAAGACAGAGTTATCAACCTTTGGCAGGTGATAGCGAAGCGATACAAGGGAAACCCGTGGATCGCAGGATACAACCCTCTCAACGAACCCGCCGACGTCGAGTGGACTCGCCTTCTCGCCTTCTACGATCGCATCGTCCCCGCCATTCGCGACATTGATCCCGAACACATTCTCTGGCTCGAGGGCAACACGTTTAGCATGGACTTTTCCGGCTTCACAAGGGTGTTCGATAACTCTGTCTATGCGGTGCACGATTACTGTGGATTCGGCTTTCCCAACCGCATTGGTAGATACCAAGGTCTGGCAGATCAGGATGCCTATATCCGCCAGATGTACGACCGCAAGGTTGCTTTCATGAAAGAGCACAACGTGCCAATCTGGAATGGTATGAACACCTTTAGGTATGAATAGACAAATCGCTAACCGTCGAGGCGCAGGCGAATTCGGTCCAATTTACGAACGAAAGGAGTACAACCCAGACTTCGAAGAGCACAACGAGGAACGATACAAGATGCTCGACAAGCAAATGGCAATTTATACCGACGAGGGCATTGGTGAGACGACTTGCGACACGAGACCTTTGAACATTCGCTAACAGCTCCATCCGCAGCATGGAGTATCTGGGCCTACAAAGACGTAAACGTCATGGGCATGACCTACCTCTCCCCCGACTCCGCCTGGCTAAAGCTCCTCGGCCCCATGATCCGCAAGAAGCGCGACCTTGCCGTCGACAGCTGGGCCTACGACGACGCACACCTCCAGCCCAATCTCTTTGGCCCCCTCCACAAGTGGTTCGAAGACAACGTTCCCGCACAATACAACAAGAAGTACCCGTGGCAGTGGCGCATGCACATGCACGTGTTCCGCGGCATCCGCGGCATCACCATGACGGAGTACATGATCCCCGAATGGGCCGATTACTTCAGGGACAAGACGTTTGAAGAGCTGGATGAGCTTGCTGCCAGCTGGAAGTACGAAAATTGCATTCAGCGAGAGAGGCTGAATGAGTTGTTGAGCCTCTATGCGCCGATGACGCCTGGGGACAAGAGGTTGGAGGGCAAGGTGATTCCCTCAGAGGTTGAGAAGGAACAAGGAAAGCCTAAAGAAACTGTATCTGGTGTTGGCGTATTTGAGCTGGCACCTGATGAAAAGAAGAAGCATCTTGCTCAGGCCAGTCTAACCCCAGTTGCTGTTGTTTCATAGCTTCGAAACTTTCATTAGCCTCGACATCATGATGAGGCTGACTGGGTTGCATACACTGGCGTTATTTGGGTTTCGTAGAACAATGACTACGGGTTCAACTCTTTTCGATTCACTTGCAATATGTACTACACCGATTTGAGTCAAGGAAGAATTGACCGCCATAATCTTCGCTATGCTTGGCATTGATCGGATTCTACAGCTTCTCAGGCGAGATCCTTGCTATATGGGAATAGTCCTTATTTAAGGTAGTCCGCCATACGTCATCTGGGCTTTCCACAAACTTATGTTTCCTGAGCAATCCCGCAGTCTATATTGGCTGGATGAATCTGAACAAGCCACGAGCTCTCGGCCCTCAGGCCGAACATCACGGACAGACCGGCAAGATCCCGGCGCCGCGCGGCGCTAGGACGGCCGGGGAGTAGCGGGGAAGTTCCCCACGTAATGTCCCCTGAAGTAACTTGAAGCGTGGGCCTCAGCCAGTCAAATCCGCCAAAGAATTCCCCTTTTCTCCAGTGGATTTTCCAGTTCCATCTCCGCAAATCGCACAACTCACTCCCGTACCCTTGTGCTCCCGATGCCGATGGGCGGCCGATCATGGATGACTCCGCGCCGTCTTCCTCCTTCTCTGCGGCCCATTACTTTCCGGCACGACGCCGTGTATGGCAGGCATGCACCAACTGCCGGGCCCGCAAGACGCGATGCGACGCTGCCAAGCCAAAGTGCAGTCTCTGCGTGACGCAGAACGTGGAGTGCGTCTACCGCGACTCGAACCAGCCGCGCATCGAGCAGAATACCAGGATCTTGTTGGAGCGCATCCAGATGTTGGAAGATCGCTTGCTTTCTTCACCGGTATTTTCTGGACAACAGCAATCGCAGAGCCAGCAAGCTTCCCAGCCGTCTTTAGATACGCCATCACCACAAGCTACACGGCATGCTACAACTCCGCGATCGGCACACCATACACAGCCCGAGGCAGGTCCTGACTCAACGTCAACGAGGAACCAAACAGACGCGGTTCAGACAAGGAATGCTGATGCAGATGCTCAAATTCCAATCCCTTTATCCCATACAGCGAATGCGAACCATGTCTTTGAGTGGCCGATAGTAAAGCAGCTGCTAGCAGAAACGGACTCGGAGTCACAACCGCCGCGGCCAGCTTTTCCGGGAGGGCTGCGCTCAGCGGAAGCAACTGACATCTTTTTCCGCAAAGATACAGGTACAGATTCTTCGAAGTGCCCTCCAGAGTCTTGGAGATTATTCCAAGACCGGAGTCTGCCAGTATCCATCCATGCCGCTGATCGGTATCGGGAGGTGATCCATGAGTACTTTGCCGAAGTGAACATCTTCTTTCCTCTCCTCTCCCCAGAGGACATCATCAACACTTTAAATGAAGTAATAGCGTCTGAAAAGACTGCAGGTGTGGTCTCGCCCCTCACTGCGCCGGCCCGGTATTGTTTATTGCTGTTGGTCCTCTGCATAGGATCCTTCGTCTACACTGGGGACTATCGCATCTCATTGGATGAAAGAGCAGGCCGAGATGGAGGTCAACGCCAAAGACCCATAAGTTCGAGCATCATTGGAGACTTCCCGGGCATCGATGAGCAGCTGTGGCGAAAAGCGCGACTTTTGCTGGGCTTCATTTCATCTGAAATCAGCCTTGAAGCAGCACAATGCACGATGTTGGCGAGGTCAGACTCATGCTTGTATACTTAGCATTGTTCTACCTGAACTGACGGCTTGCAGCTTATACATGAATGCGAACGGAAAAGTAGCAGATTCTTTCCACTGGGCGCATGCAACCGCCGTCAAGTGTGAAGCGCTCGCGAAAAGGTACTTATCTTGAGAAGCTCGCAAGTCCCGCCTGCAAGCAACTCGGTTACTAAAACAAGAAACAGAGATGCCACAGGCGCAGAAGGCAATGATGGATTCTCGGACGCCTTCCGTAGACTCTTTTGGGTCGCACTTATTTACGAAGGTGACTTTGTGTCCGAGATCTCAATCACATTACCCTCAGGTATAGCGAGATACGAAGAAGTCGTACCCTACCCGGCCCCCGAAACACCCAAGCAGCACAAAGACTTCACCACCAACCAGGCGACCCCGGAAGCCGAGGTGACGAGTCCGTCATCGACGTCTTTCTACAGGACCGAGGAACTTGTCGCCTTCCAAATCAGTACCAACGCGGCAATCAGGCGGTTTCTCAACCGGGTTAACAGCGTCGTCTTTGATAGCAAAGACCAGTTCCGCATGACGCGCACCAACTACGCCAACTGGCTACTGCGGATCACCGAGGATCTTTGGTCCTATCACGGTGCGCTTTACCGCAATCTCCCCGATTTCCTGCTCACGAGCCAGCCTAGAAGGACACCTGGGCAACAGCCGGAAATTGCGAGTTCTCCTATGACACCCGGTATCATTCGAGTTGAGGAGTTGGGCAACAATCCGTGGAATGTGCTGAGGCTCAAGGGGCGGTACTATGCGGGGCAGTACATCATTCATCGCCCTTTCATCGAATACGTGATGTTGAACATGGCGCACTTCGAGACGCATCCGTGCCGGGAGGCGATATTGGAGCGGTGCCGAATGTGCCTTGAGGGTTGCAAGGGTTTCATCAATGTTTTCGACATTGATCCTGCCAACAGCATTACTGGCCTATTTGCTGCCGGAATGGTGTAAGTGCGAAGCCTTAGGCTACAGAGCACCACTACTGTAGAGGCTCGTTTCTGACATCTCCTTAGGACCTTCACCATGGTTACCATCCTCCGAGTGGCGACAATGTGCCCCGTCTTCAAAGAAATCCTGCCGGAAGATATTGAGGGTGCGATGTTTGTAGGAACGCGGAACTTGCGGCGATTCAGCATTAGCGTGAGGGAGTTTGAGTGGCACTTGAGCGTATTGGAAAGACTTGCGGCGTCTTGTAAGAATAGAATGAGTGCTTAGGTTGCGGAAGACACATCGCTGCCGCATTTTCGAACGCGGGAACTCAAAACGACATGCTCGGTGGATACCACTGTCAAGAAAAGTCTCACAATCTGTCGTTCTAGGAGAATCAAGCGTGAAAACTCCATAGAATTCTTCATGAGGAATCGCGGTGGAAATTACCTCATTCGAAGTCTTCTAGAAACCTCAATACTCAGCTTCTATCGCTGTACTGTTTCGCTTCTCAAATGTCGATCAGACGCGGTTGGTTCCAATTCCCTGGTTAGACGGGTCCATTCAAGAGTCGATTATTTGAGATGGCTGACTCAATAGACGTGAGTAAAGTTTCATCCGAAAGATAGAGCGGTGTCAACGAGGATGTCATCCAAACTTGTGACGTTGCAAGTCGCTGTAAGCGAAGCCAAATCCATGGGAACCGAAAGCGAATGGGCAAATGAAGATCTCGAAGACGAAAAGGAAATCTTCCCTACAGAGTCAAATAAAGCAAGTGATGATCTTGTTGGTAAATTTACCTCATGCTTAAATAGCGACGAACATCCTGAGGATTCAAGCTATCTAGAACAACAACTCTTTAACCATTCTGACTTATCACGCAAGTCGTTCGCGTTGGTTTCGCATCTTCTTGCTCAAAATTCCTATCTCTTTCCTCATTCGTTCTACTCCTCACAACTTCACTAATCTACTGTTCAATCATCGATTCAATTTCGAAGCAAAGCAGAATTCTCGTCATTGACTTGAATAATTCCTATCGAATATGAAGTTCTCCGTAAACGCCGCTCTCTTGATCTTGGGGCTTACAGCGTCTGTCCATGCGAGTGCGTACTTCTTAAAGCTTCCGGCGCCAAGACGTCCATCTGCACTTGCGTGCTAATATAGATATTGACAGCTCCCCAGAAGAAGGGTGGTGGCGTTGCAGGCCAGGCCTGCACTGACGGGACATTCAAGGGAACTTGCTCTGCAGACGGTCGATGTGGGTTGGAAATCCCGCCCAATGAGTTGTCCAGCCAGATTGTCGCTGGCCAATGTGGCCGATGATTAGACCACTCTGCTGTTTCAATTACATCAAAGAGACAAACAAATAGAGAAAATGCATGTATTTAGTGCCACATACACTGATTCCTTGAGCCGCACCTCTGAACCTGTGACTGTACTGGTGTTTATGCGTGGCTTTTGCTAGATAAGACTCTCGGCTATTCTCGGCCAATCGCGGCTCTTAATGAGCCGATCTCCTGATGATATTGCTCAGTCGAGATCTAAGTCAGAATAATAGAAAAGAGAAAGAGCCGTTTCAGGGTCTTTGACATTCTTGCCTGTCTCATTATTGTGGTGAGTCACCTAGCAGCTCATTGGTAGAACACCGAAAGTGGCTGCATCGTTCATTATGAATCATACCTCGTCACCGTGATACTAAGAGTTTATTGGCGGACTCTTCCAGTTATAGTGGACCGTCTCAATCATGGCGTACATCCTTGGTCTGAAGGGGCTTAGTCCTGCGGCTCGGACTTCTGGGCCATCGACCACGGTGTTGAAAACCCGTGGATGTTCGGAACGCCGCCTAGTTTGTTTATGTGAATGCAAGTAATTATATAGATATGGGAATCATCCGAATGGAGCTTATTCCATTCCATCAATTCAATCGAAAAGACAACTTCAATTTTAGATACAACATCGGGATCCAGTTCCGCCCCCTCTTCCAACTAAGACCAGCCAGAAGCTAATTCCACTCAAACGACCACTTATCAATGCCGGGTGCAACAACAACAGCAACGAACACAGCAACAACTGCGCTACTTCGGAATTCGATGGACTCGCTCTCGAATCAGAACAACAACAACATACCACTTTCCCCGGAAGAGTCAATTGACTCTCACAGCGCGGGCATGCAACCATTCATTCCTGGGCAATGCCTATTCTGCTCCAATCTCTCAGCAGACTTCCCTGCCAGTGTTGCCCACATGCAAAAGTCACACGGCCTGTTTATTTCACATCAGCAAAATCTACTCGTCGACCTAGAAACTCTCTTCAAGTACCTGCACCTAGTCATATTCGATTATCGGGAATGTCTACATTGCGGGACAAAGAGGACAACGGTACAAGCTGTACAGCAACACATGGTCGGCAAAGGTCACTGCAGGTTTGACCCAGAAGACCAAGACTCCGAATTTGCCGACTTTTACGACTTCACTTTCTCCGAGACCGAAGGCAACGAAGGAGGTGACTTTGAGAGCGACAAAGACGAGTGTGATGTGCAGAACGAGCCGGCAAGCCCAAGTCAGCCGTTACAGGTCGATGAAGACTCTCTTCGGTTGCCATCAGGCAAGATCATATCCAAGCGGTCCTCGGACCAGGCGGGACCGTCTATCAATCACCTAAGGCGCCGAATGCGGACCCCACCTTCACGACTAGAATATGTCCAGGTAGAATCTGAAGAAGAGGGGTCCAGCGAGGACCCGCTGCATCCTGGTCGGACACAAGCACTGTCTAAAAGAGAAAAGCGAGAGAAGGCGGTGATCGCGCATCAGCTAGCAAACATGAGGGCGAATGATCGAAGTGCACTGATGCACTTATCTGCATCGGAGCAGCGATCGCTGCTGGCGGTGCAGTACAGGAATGAGGAAAAGGTGCAGAAGGAGGAACGGCGCCGGCAGGGTAAGATTGATCGGAAGGGGAACAAGAACTTGTACGCGTACTGGAACACAGAAACGCCTGTTTACCAGTGTGGATAGATAAGACGCTGTATTAAATCCTAATAAATTTCGGCATCGTCTTGTGTATCTATTTACTTGAAAGTGGCCATGTGTTCTTGGTAGTTTTGTAGGATCGGAAGTGATTTGGCAAGCATTCTGGTAGTAGCTGGAGATGGTCCCCGGGAACCAGATTTATTGAACTCTGCTCGTGGAGGACTTAACGATGTCGAAGTAGGTTCGGAAATCACGCTTTTGAATCGAGATCTACGTCATGCAGTACACCGACTAGGTTGACCTTGCGTTGGATTGACGTGGATGGAGACCTGTCAAACTTCAGACAGATTGGCCGATTCCTGGATCTCCCACAAAAGAGGGCAAGAGAGGAATTCTTGTCCATCTGGCATCTACGTAGTATGCAATCGACTACCCTAGTAGTTGCCATTGAGCGGTAAGTGATTGGATGATACTATGGGCGGCATTCGCTTCGCACATAGTCTTGCCCGAACGTACTACATGTAGGGTTCTGTGGTCTTCTCAGCCAGATTGGGACGGCCCAACTTGGAATTCTGGGAAGAAATACGGGTGCTGAGTATTTTTCGTGAACTAAGGACTTTCTCACTTACATCAGACAGCTTGGCGGCTATACCATGAGAAGACTGTGTAAAAATGTAACATATTTCGTGTGCCAATGAAGGCTAGAATATGACCTAGCGTATATCAATTCCTGTTAAGATCACGAAAAAAACTAGCGGGCAGAACGTCGCAGCTTTAGAATGTGCGATGCAGTTCTCCGTGCACCCATACAGTGGAGATTACAGGGGATGGATGGAGGGGTTAACACGGCTTCCCTCCGCGTACAGGGGGGACTCCCTTGCCTTGTGGCTGCCAATTTTAAGATTGCCGGCTCCTTTAAGAGAGCGAGAGCGAACTGCGAAGTACTTCATGCATTTCGCTTCATGGATCATGAGTTCCTTCAGAGACAAAGGTTGATAGTTGTGCGCCGTGGAAACAAATGCCAGTACTCAACGTTGTCTTCCGTCCTAAGCCTTCTCTACCTTACCTTATGAACTCTATAGAGCCTTATAGAGCCAGTCACTCTGGTTTCGAGGTCAGGGGCACGAACGAGGTCCGACCAATTTGACAGGTGCCGGTGTCAGCAGTAAATTGCATCGGTTGGAGTCTAGAAATCAAAGTGGTCGATAGTAGAAGCAAGGTTACCTGCCATACTTGAGCTGTACTCTGTACACACATTTCGCATTCACCATTTAACAGACTTGATAAGGCGTAGAATGTCCGACAGGCCGCTCTACTTTGTCCGTTGATGCAAACCAGTCTGGTGGATAGCTCCGTGCAATCCGCAGGCCTCTATCGTTGGCCCTAATGGGTACTAGGTAACAAGGCCTGGGACAAAATCTGCGTCCCTGTCACCTTGTCAAGCACGTTTCGAATCGAAATTAAAGTCATGGGCGTGCGGCGCCTGTACCGTTCCCATCCCAAGCGCGCTACCGCATTCAGGTGGCACTTCAATTCGCTGAGGGCTTTGGAAGTGCGCCGCCCAGCCGGTCACGGCGTTTCAGCTGCCCAGGCCCGCAGAATAGGTGCATCTTAATCCTTGCAAGGATACAGCTTGCTGGAGATTGACAGCTCACGGGATGCACGGCGGACCTGCTGGGGCGGCGGGGGCGGCAGTGATGGGACGAACAAACGTCGAGATCGGGCGGCTCAGGGGAGGAAAGGTTGTAGATACTAAAGAAACGCCGATGGCCTTCTTGGAGGGAAGGCTTATTAGGTCTGTCAGTGTGAGCTTGTCCTTCCCTCATCCAGTCCCAATCCCGAGTCTCTCTCCTTGACAGGTTTGGTGATATTCGTTCGTTTCATTCCACTTCTCTTCGCACTCCCTGTAAACCACTTCAAGATGCTTCCTACTACTTCACTTTTGCTTGCCGGTGCTGGCATCGCCAATGCATACACCATTGCCGTGGCCGAGCCCTTCATGCGCAAAAACATCGATCCCGTCGTCATCCCGGGCCAGTACAAGAGCCACATGCACACCTTCTTTGGTTCCGACGCCGTCACCCTAAACACGAACACCTCTGCCGAGCTCCAAGCAGGTTGCTCAACTGCCGAGAACCCCAATGACTACTCTTCCTACTGTAAGCTGAAGCCCAATCCTAGGTTCTCTTGAACCACAGCCATTTCCCCAATTTCAAGAAGGTCTCTTGCTGACTTAAACTCTAAAGGGGTCCCAACTCTGTACGTCAAGAATGACACCGGCATGACCCCAGTCCCCTTCTCTCGCTTCAGCGCCTACTACGTCGCCATCGAAAGCGCTGAGGTCGCCATCCCCCAAAACTACAAAACCGTTGCCGGAAACTCCAAAGGAACCACACAAGCCGACGTCGAGGACCTCGCCGGCATCCAATGGTTCTGTGAGAGCGATCCCACCGAAGAGGGCAAAGAGGTCGCGGCGTGGCCCACAAAGACGTGCTCCACGCACCTACAGACTCTCCTCCTCTTCCACGACTGCGTCAACGAGCAGACTCTCGAGTCGGCCTACTCGGGCACCCAGAACTGGAAGGACGGCTTCAAGCCCGCCAACCGGTGCCCGGAAGGCATGAAGCGCCAGCCGCAGCTTCGGTTCTCGATCCGCTACGATCTGCGCAAGGTGCTTCCAGACGGATGGAACGGCACGCCGCCTTTCGAGCTTGCGTGCGGTAACTCGTTCTGCTCGCACGGCGACTTTATCAACGGGTGGTTGCCCGAGGCTGCTACCAATATGCTCAAGGCGAACAGCAAGAGAGACTTTGCGGGTGTCGATGGGCCTGATGGAAAGTACAATGCTGGTTCCAAGTGCGGCGCCGAGAACGCGGTAAGTAATTCTCTTGACCCAATGATGGAAAGAGAGCAGGGCTAATACCAATACAGAGGGACGCCGATCCCAACAATGGCACATCCGATTACGATGAGAGTGTCAAGATGATGAGCGCCAAGGGCAGCATTGGTCAGCGCTCGCAGTCTCGTCGCGCCTAAAGAGGTATACCTAGACCTTCCTCGTAGGCAGACTAACATGAGTCACCAAGTGAGATCCCCTGGGAATACCAGTGGCCATCATTTGGGGGGTCATGAACTGTACAAAGTCATTGTCATTCTCCTGTACAATGTTAAGCTTTCATGTATTTATAAGTTACAAACTTCAGGTGCAGATTGAATGACAACCAGAGGTCTTCACTGTATCGACACACTTGGAAGTAATACTCCACAACGCTGGAAGAACAACAGCAAAGCATTTCTGCGATGGTGACATTCGTTGATAGCATCCATACCTCGCCAAAACCTAAGGGATGTGCAACGTTCAATTTACGGTGGAACGATCGGGAAAAGTACCCGTGGTCTCAGCCTCATCATTGCACATATGAAAGCTTGTCTTACAGCACGGAACGAACTCTGTGAGCTGATCACTGCAAGGGGTTAGTCGGAAAACTTTGCGTTCCAGGTCATCAGCTGGCAAGAGCCAATTTGTTGGCGCAGCGCCTTTGAGTATGCTGAACAGGAAGCGATGGAATTTGCGGTAGCTTTTGATTTTTCCCAGGGATATGAGCATTCAATCACAGAGTATGGTTCAGAGCTGTCGATGCACAATAGGCTGACAGCGTGATGATCATAGCAGAGTTTACTGATTCTACATCTAGACCTCCACGTACATACAGGCTGTCTCTCTGCTTGGATCACCTCTTTGGAACAATATCGCTCACCCAGAACTAGAGACTTGTCAAAGACTCAGACTGTGTTCAGAAGATGTATATGCCTCATCCCATTAAAGCCGTCATGAGGACCAGCCCAGCAGCTACCACACACTTATAACTGGCGGCTGGGCCGTACTGCCTGGCAGAGCCGCTCACTGTATTGGTAATGGGAACTAGTGAAGCTGCCTGTTAGTTTCTTGACCAAAGATTGACAGCAAAATGAATACTCACGTGAAGCAGTAGTTGGCAGCGGAAGAACTACACCCGAATTGAGCGATCCCAGAGTCGGGATCTGTTCTGGGTTCGATTCGTGCGCCGTCACTGTGCCGTGAAGGCTCGCCGTTAGTGACGTGTCTTTTCTCAGAGGCAGAGTCTCGCCGGGAGCCGAGCCGGATTGCAAAACCAATCCTTGAGGGTCTTGGGCAGCAGTGACTCGTGTAGGTTCGGATGGTGATGCTGCGCTCGGGAAGTCGGTCATGCTGAACAGGGAGTATTGAGGATCTATGCCAGCAGGTATGGTGATAACCGCGGACGCCCTGACATCCTGCACCACCTCCGACACTGGGCGTGTGATTGTTGCCACGACGGGGGTTGGACCACACGTTGCGCAGGTCTGAACTTCTGCAGTAAAACCGAAGGGGACATCCGCAGACGTCACCGTAGGTTTCGAGGGCATCCCACGATATGTCTCTGTGACAGCATACACCTGCTTAGCGAGGCCCGTGGAACAGAAAGTATCGTATTCGGTAGTGTAGGAGATTGTGTGCACGCAAGTATCGCATCCGCATTTGTTGCAGTTTGGGGCCTGTAGTTGAACGGTGATGGGCTGTCCCGTGACGGCTGGCAAGCGGACAATGGGAGTCGCCATGCAGCTGCCGCATAACGGAGCGAATGGCTGCTTGGTGAAGCACTGGACAATGGTCGCAGTACGACACGCAAGGAGAGTCGATTGGGAAGAGACTTCCATTACCGTGATGTTGATGATAGTAATAACGGTGAAGAACGTAACGGAGCGATTCGTCCTTGGTTGGTGAATGAATGTATTCGAGTACAGTTTATATCGAGAAATAAGAACGTTTTATGTTTATGGCTGTAGTAGGAGGGTATGTGGCCAACAGACTTGCCAGACTTGGTTGGAAGAAGCATTTAGAAGCGAGCTTAGGAACAAGTGTGTGTGTCTTACTATTTAATATCACTGAGTACACATGCGGAGGTTCTGACAGCTTTTGAGCTGTAACAATGTGGGAGCCGCCCAGTGGCTAGCTGAAGTATGGAATTTTGTTTCAATGGACATATCAGACTCAACCGTGATGTCGGGACGCCGGCCGCCCAGGCCTGGTATTGCGGCGTTGTGTGAGACTATTCTCGGTCTAGCTACATACCTAAATCGCACCTCATGTTTCACAGCGTTCCGACTCATGCTTTTACCAATTACAATTAGTTCATTGTCTAACACTGAGGCTTGATGTCTCGTTGAAATAAGAGTTTTCCGTCCCGCGAAAATGAGATTTGATGTCTCATTGTAATATTGTGGAGTATTTTCTCTTGGTGTTGATTGCTTCAATTACGAGCGACCTTTTGCTCCCCGGCGCTGAACCTTGACATATATGTATCTGGGAATCATGTCGTCTATTTTCTGCTATATCGAGGAGCTCTTACTGTCATGCGAGTTAGTCATTAACATTATCTCAATCGCCATCATGAAGCCTCGGTCTATACTCAGCTTGCTTTTCCTTTCGCAAACCATCTCAGCGTCTGAACCATCCTTTGAGCATGAGAATGGCTTGCCAGCAACATGGTGCTTCACTTACTTATCGACTTACCTGGAGCCTACGAGTATAGCTGCTGGCTCAACAGGACTGGAGACGGCACTGAACTCAACTTCCATCGCTAACGCACCTTTGTCAACGAAAACAACCATTGGGCTTTCCACAAATCCTACACTTGGGGCTTCCGCAACGCTGAGCTTTTCTCTCGGCACCTCCCTCCCGGCTACGGAACAGATTGGTGCGCCGGCAACGACCCCGTTGACAATACCCACTTCGTCTCTACAACTGTCTTCGTTTTCGGTTGCTGCATCTGATACTTCGTTAACTTTGCTCACCACAACTTCGTCCGCCACTCTGACCTCCAGCAGACTAGCCTCACCCACTGCTACTAGCTCCGGCTCATCTACGTCGATATCCGCGCAAGCTGCTGAAACTGTGATCTTCTTCGTTGCTCCAGGCTCAACTTTGACTGTGAGACGAAATCTGAAGAAGAGGGTGATGGGTGGTTTCGTGAACCACAACACCAACGCAGATCGTCAGCTATGCAACACCGCAACAGTGTTTTCCTTGGTCGCTGGCGAATTACTAGATGGCGGCGTACCAGTGTATTACTCTCCAGGTGATAGCCATAAACCTCTCAATGCTATGGGGACGCGACCGAACAACGCCATTACAACAACATTCGACGTCTTTGATGGGGTTCTTCGATTCTACCATCCATCTCTCCCTGGTAGCCAGGCAAGCTTCTGTCAGGATGCTACTGGACAGGTCCATGTCACCTTTACGTCCCGACCGCCTGATTGCGATCCAGTTTCTCTCTTAGCATATGGAGGTAAGATTCATCAATAACTTTAGCTTGTCTACCCTAACGATGCCGAAGCTGATATTCACATGGGATAGTCGACTTGTGTCAAAACGGCCAAATACAACTTCCCGGCTTGCCTAGTCAGAGTACCTCGACATCGACTACAGCAAGTGCAACTTCGTTGGAAGTCTTGACCAGCACCACAAGTCGTTCTACCGCAAGTGTTACAAGCGGCTTATTGCAAGATACTTCTATATTTTCCCGCACCATGTCGACAGTTTCTGGCGTCTCCGAGTCGCTCATATCATCGAATTCTGGTCCAAGTATCTTATCATTTATAACATTACCGACACGCGATCCTGAAACTCTTATCCTTCCATCACCGATTCCTCTAACATTGTCATCGCCTTCGTTATCTCCATCATTCTCGTCATCCATGTTGTCTTCGCCGTCTCCAGCGGCCTCATTATCGCCCTCGTTATCGCCCCCACCGCCATCAACCACAACCTTCTCCACTCAGACTTCCACAAGGACAGAATCAACATCTTCCACCTCGGCACGCTTCTCAAATTCGACTAGTGTTGAGCCATCGACATTCTCGGCGAGCATTTCCGACGCTTCTTCAAGCATCTCGTCCTCGCTCACAACCAGTCTGTCCTCCAGCTCATCCATCATAACTCCAATCTCGTCAGCTACCTCCAGCTCAAGTTCTTCGCTGAGCAGCTCAAGCACATCTGCTACGCCCATATGTACACCTGGCGTCGAGTTCGCCGCCTACGTCTTTCCTCGAACTTCCGAGCCTTGTCAAGAGCTCCTGCGCGTGTACTCAGATTCGACCAAAAGCGCAAGAGATCTGAACTTGACTACAGTTATGCAAGGCAGAACTCCTCTTGGCACAGGCTTTACTCCGCTCGTCTCATGGAGGACGAGCCCGAGTGACGAAACAGGTCCCACAAACATCTATGGAGTACGTGGCCCGGCGAACACGACGTGGAGCAATTCGTGTGATTTGATTCAACACCGAGGCTACCTAAAGTTCAACGAAGCAAAGATCTGGTATCTGACAATCGATGTGCCTGATGATTTCGGGTTTGTTTGGTTCTATGGTACATTCTCGTCAACTGTGCCCGGAGCTTACGGTGCCAGTGCCGGTCAGATCACGGCAGACTACTCCCGTCGAGCCAGGGTGACTGCTGCAAACGTCCTTGTACGTGACTCTGAGATATACGTGCCTTTTCGCGCATTGTTCCTCAACTCTGGCGGTCCCGGTAGCCTCAACATGCCACTGCCGCCCGGCGTACAATTCGTATCGGGTTGTTCCGACACGCCTGCTACTCCCGCTTTCCCTCAGTGGGAAACGGAGAAGTGGACTCCGTAATCAGCACTATACTATCCATCATCTCGTCGCCTCATCCTGCGTGGCCAAGGGGAGTATATCTTTCTCAGAATCTCCGGTTTCTGCACTCTGTCATTACCCTCTCGCTGCCAGGAAGCCTTCGTCTGCATTCTTACCCCGATAGGCGACATGGCATAGCTATCTTCATTGATGTTGCTTCGGTCTCTGGCCACGGATGCGGCTGGAGTGGCAGTTGTCCGCTTCCCGCTTGTGGTAGCGTTAGTCATTTGGTTGCCTATTAGTCAAGCTGTTAATTGTACTAAAAATAAAGATTTAAACTTCGTTCACTTCTGCCTACGGTGCTTTGCAAGCAATTTCGTATGTCTATTGCGCTGATATCGCCCTAGTGTGCGGCTAGAAAGGCCTTTAACCGTCGCCAAAGGAAGTCGTTTCCGCAACTGTTAGATTGCGTCAGTACGTTACTCTCAATCTTTGCGCCCCTTCGAAGTTTTGCCCCGAGATTTGGTTGGAGAGCAATATCGGTTTGATATAATCCGTTGTTGTCTATGATCAAACCGTGTATCTGTGAAATGACATCTATTTGTAGTTAAAAAGATAGTTTGTTAAAAGACGATGACCCATGGTCAGAAGTATCACATTGCCTTTTGGCTTGCCATCGAATTGCTAAGGTGCTCTGGAGGTCGCAATGAAGGGAAGACCCAGATGTCCATCGAAGAAAATTTAGATAAGCATCAAACTACCTAGTAGGACCGTGAAATGTCAATATTACACACCATCTAGTCGGTGTTACATCCAATTTACTCCAGCCGACAAGACGATGACACTAAGGTAGCAGGTCGGAGCATGCGCACCTAGATTCGGGATGCAAACATACCCTACCCGAAGAGATGAGTTTATTCAACAGCCAAACGAGGATTGCAGATGTATTTGCTCACTTTGAGGCCTTCAGAGCCTTCCAATCCTTGCCACTGTCGGGCGTCGCAGGCGGTGATTCGTTGTACCTCTCTGCATCGTCAGGAATTCTCACGACCGCGCTGCTCGTCCAGATATGCTTTCCCCTATCCATCTTAAGTCCCAAGATCAGTCCCCCTTTGATGCTGACTGTTGATTTGGGTACTCCATTCTCATCGTATGTGCGATGAAAAACCCGAGTCCCGCATAGCCGGCAGAAAAAGCAGTCCATGTGCCCGCCGCTCTTTGTGGGACGAGTCCAGACCTGGAGTTTCGACTCGAGATCATCTGTGAGCGGAAAGAGGCCATCAGCGGGGAAGATTGCCGATGTACCAAATGCTGAAGCAGATTGCTTGCGGCATTGCGAGCAGTGGCAGCAGTAGATATCAAGGGGTTCAGGTGCTGGAGTCTTGAATGTAACTGTGCCACATTGACATTCCACGTCCATTTTGAGCAGAAGATGCTTGATGATGTCTGACTGGATGATGTTGGAACTGTTGCGTTGCCGATTTCCTGATAATATGGTCTCGGGTGTGAGTAAGATAGTTTTTAACCCATGGAAATCAAAGCTAGTCAGATTCAACATCAACTTTGAAGGATGTTGTGATGGTTGTTCAGGTTTGACACGCGAAGGGCGCCAGTGATCAGCTGGTCTCGCTTCACTTGAGTCATCATCGTTGATTGGCTGGCTTCTTGCAGGCGCGTGAGCGCTCACTACCTTCAGCTCAACTTCTTGATTACTGAGATTGCCTAAGGTGTATGAATGTTCGCGAGGATGCGCCTCACTCACCCATTGGGTCCGTGAAGTTAGTTTGAGCTTTTGTGAAATCAGTGAGACGCGACTGATGTGAGTTAGTTGTGAATATGAGATGAGTCAGCGCCCAGACATGATCTCATGCCCCTGAGCGCTCCCTTTCCCCGGCCATGTGTAGTCTGAACTAGTGCCAACTTCAGCGCGTCAGTGATCGCTGGCGTTCAAGCTTTCTTATTTAGCCGGGACTAACAGTCGTATTGCAACATCACCAACTTCATCTGGTTAAGAATGATATCTTCCCCAGGTTCCGGGAGATCTTACCCTTGGCGACGCCCGGTGCCGCTATGCCGATTCAGCCGCTGTTAAGAAGCACGTGGACGACTTTCCCCGGCACCCAAAGAGCTGGAAAATCTGGTTCTGTTCAATTTGCGGAGAAACCATCGTCGTCGGAATAGCAGCCGCCCTGATATACCCTAGTCAACTCGGCCGGGGTGGCCCATCAGACCCCCGCCAAAAAATTCTCCCTTTTGACCGTGACCCTCCGTTCCAGATTAAGCACCCCGCGACCAGGAAAAGAGCCTAAATGAGACTGCTCAATCAATGCTGTCACCCGCTTCCCTCCCGCACACTCATCTAGATTGCTATTGACCCAATGTAGTCGAATCGAGCCCCCTAGAGGCCCCTCACTGCCGGCCTCGCGCCGTGGTACTCTTGAATCTTGCCCCTGGGAGAAGCAAGGTTCGTCTTGAGCCACGAAGCGAACTCCCGAAGAGGTCGCACCCGGCCGTTCACCCCATGTCCAATAACCCCACAAAGGAGGTGTTCCCGTCCTTTTCGTTCTCTAGTCGTGACGAGATTGAAGTGCTTCGTGTGGGCTCATCATCGCCTGTTGAGCGCACCTGTTGAATAAGCATATATAGACGGCTGCCCAGCCAGGTCATTCCTGTTTTTGAAAGCTTGATGTCCACAACCATCGTTAGTCCCCTTGCTACTCAAAATTCTTCGACAGAAACATCGATTCGCCCATCATGCTTCTCGATACCATTGTCACCGGTCTCCTGATGGCCGCCAGCGCGGCCGCCATCCCTATCGAGAGCCCCATGGAGCTCATCAAGCGCGCCCCGAGCGCTGGCGTCGTGATCCAAAAGTGCGCCAAGCCCGGCGTCTTCGCCCTCGCCTACGACGATGGCCCGTACCAGTACACTTCCCAGCTCGTCGACATCCTGAACAACGGCGGCGCCAAGGCCACTTTCTTCATGACGGGAACCCTCTACGGGTGCATCTACAACCAGCGCACCGCCGTCAAGAAGGCCTTCGACTCTGGCCACCAGATTGCCTCGCACACCTGGACCCACCCGTCCACCTTTGGTAGCTTGACCACGGCGCAGCTCACGACCGAGATGCAGAAGCTCGAACAGGCGATGGTCAACATCATCGGCAAGAAGCCTGCCTACATGCGCCCGCCGTACCTCGCTACCGGCGGATCCGTGCTCTCGACGATGAAGACGCTGGGATACAAGGTCATCACTGATGATGTAGACTCTGGCGATTGGAACGGGCAGACGCCGGCGCAGAGCGAGGCCAAGTTCACTGCTGCTGGCGCGAGCGGCAACGGACATATCCCTCTCATGCACGAGACCTACGCAACCACGGTGCAGACTTTGACCCCGTGGTTGATCAACTGGGCGAAGCAGAACAACCTCAAGCTGGTTACTGTTGGTAAGTGAAGTGTGCGAATAGACTCATGTAGCCGGTAACTAACTTGTGTATCAGCTGAATGTCTCGATGATGCCAGCGGCGCGTATCAGTCTGGCTCTTTCACTGGCAACGGCGCGACAACTTGCTAGAGGGAAAAGTTATGGTGGAACTTTGACATCCTTTATTAGGGTGGCAATAGTTATCAGGAAATTTCGTGAACATATTATCCCGTACATATCTTTGATGCCTAGCGCATATTGAAAATTGGAAAAGCATCGATTTCTTGCTATAGATATACGGCCACCCACACTCGGCAAAGACAGGTACTCTGGACACCAAAGTGATACGCCTGTATGTGCTTCAATGTCGCCCGGACATGCCCCATATTGACGAGTTTCCAAGCTCACCTTACATCAAAGGGCACTCCGTGCAAGACTCTTCCAGGTTTCAGACCATCTTTACTGAGTGGAGGCAAGGTCTTGCTTTCGTGAAACTTCCAGTGGGTAAACGCCCCTCAGTGGGCAAGCGTTGCCCTCAAAGTCATGACGTAGGAGTAGAAAAATGCATCTGCAATTCCTAAACCTAGCAATCTGGTGAATGATACAATCTCTCATCGGTCATGATACTCTGAACCCTATTTCCTATGTCACGCCTACAATTTCTATTGCTATTGGCGCTTCGCCGCGATGCTTTACGTGTACTCTCAGCAGTGTATACGAAGAGAACCGGATAGGAATAGTAATAATACCGATAAGAGTAAAAACACAGTTGGTTGGAAGATAGTTCTAAGAAGTAACACCAGTATAAGGTAAACAAAGGATTGGGTTTATCACGCAGCGGGGTATTCTCTCATGCTCCGATGTGCTCCGCCGTGGACAGTAATTTGCAGCAATCCGTGACCATCACGCAACCTCCCCCTCGCAAGCGCTCCGCTCATACACCTCCATAGATACCATGGTTGATCGCAGTTTCGCCCTCCAGACGTCTCTGCATAGTTCAATGTGTACCAATTCCGATAGATCAGGATAATACTCGTCGGTTGCCACTCCTGGGTGGCCGGCACTGCGGAGATCCTTTAGAAGGGCATTCCGGCACCAATAGACCATCAGAGATGTGTTGGCCTTTGCGAGACGGCAGAGCTCTGCCATATCCCACTGGGTGGTCAGGTGCCCCTTGGCATGGTCGATTGTCATGTTCTCGGCCATGTCGTATCTGATAGACGACTGGAATGTCGATCCCTTGACATCCACAAAAGGGAATGTGAGGTCGTTGTCCGCCTAATTGATATTGATCTTTATAAAGACCGCAGCTCCCCGTTGTCGCCAGGCAGGAACCTTGGGCACCGCGTGGCTCTTCTTCGCGCGAGCGTTACTCGCCGTGGACACGCTGGCGTCCTCTGTGAGGGTGCCGACGTACATGGCCGTTTGGGCCGCATGTCGCTTGGCCGCAGGCACTGGGGGCATGACCACCATGCTGGTATCCCAGCTTGTGAAGACGAGGTCCCAGAGCTCCTTGATGCGGTTATCGAGGGCCTGTCAGCTAGCCACCTCTCGGAATCTGGTAACATCCAAGTACACCTCCATCCATGGTTCAGGGATCGCTTTGTGGGCGGCACTCAAATCGTCGTACTTCGAGAGAGTGGGCAGGGAACCGGATCTGGCCCTGCCAGATGCAATGATCGACAGTGCTTGTCGAATCATCTCGTCGAGCGAGATATACGCTTCTCTTCTGCGATGCGGGTAACGCAGCTGCGGAATCTGGGACGGCGGGGGGGGGGGGGGGGGGGGGGGCGTCGGGGTGGAGGAGTGTTGTGTGAGGGCCTGTTGGAAGTACTGAGGCGGTGGGCTGTGTGGGTGGCGGGGGGGGGGGGGGGGGGGGGGGGGGGGGGGGGGGGGGGGGGGGGGGGGGGGGGGGGGGGGGGGGTTGGGAGGAGGCGGCATCGTTGGCCCGGAATTGGGTGAATGAACGGGTATCTGCGGCGGGCAAAATTTCTTTTCGCACGACTAAAGTATGCACTTCAATTGGGAAATATAGAGCTTGCGGACGGGGGTTATTTACGAAATGTCGAAAGTGTATGCGATGAGACTTATCTAAATCTGTTACGTAATAGGGATAGTAATCGCACCTTACGAAGTACCCGTTACGTGCTAAATCACGTGTCTATCTTAGATATCGTATATATAGACCTTTTCTTTTTATCTATTTCTATTTTAATAATTAAGCTACTTTTATTATACTCCGTATACTTATTATTATATACTATAACTCGTAATAATTATAAACTTAGTTCTTAGTTAAGACCCTATACTATAATAATATACTTATTAATATAATTCTTACGATTTTTTTAAAATAATTAACTTACTTATACTTACTTTAGTTTAAGTTAAATTAATTAATTATAATAGTTAAATTAAATAGTTTAACGTACTTTATACTATAAATAAGAGCGTTAGGATTTAAAAATATATTAATTTAAACGCTTTAAACTCCGACGCATTCCTCGACCCTTTTATAATACTTATTTTACTTTCTAAATTCGGATAATTAGTTATAACTTATAATAAAAAAGAACTACGAACTTACTAAGCCTATTATAAAGCGTTTAAAAACGACTAAAAAAATTAAAAAATCCTCTATTAATAGTTTCTAAATATAACTCCTAATACGAACTTTTTAACTTTTTTAAATATAAGTAACTTATAAAACTAAACTAGGTTTTTTTTTATAAAGCTAGTTATACTACCTACTTTATATAAATAAATCTATCCTTATACTATACTTATAAAAAAGATCTATATACTCGAGAGTATTTAAAAATAATAAGAGCTTAATACTAAATATAAGTAATTTATAACTTATAAATATAATATTATTAATATATATATTAAAGTCCTTACTTAGTAATTAGTAAAATTAGTTAACGTTATATTATACGAATATATATTTTAAAAAGCTATTAAAAACGGCGCTAAGTTTAGTATATAGCGAATTATTAAATATTTAAAATAAGAATTTACGCCCCCCGAATTAGTAATAAAAAATGTAGTTCGAGAGGAATATTAATAAGTCCTTAATAAAGCGAGGACTAGAATTAACTTCTAATGCTAATATAAGGAGTAATAGTCTATTTATTTCTAAACTAAAACGTATAATATTTTAGAAATTAGTAAAAAGATCGCTATACTTAATTTCCTAGTTATAATTAAGTCTAGACTTAACCTTATATAAGGCTAATGTATATATAAGACCTTTAGTAAATTAATAGCCTTTAGAACGTATATAAGGACCCTCGAAAAGATTACGTATATATTTAACTTAATAACCTAGGACGTATATACTAAATAATTTTTAAGTTAAAAAGGGGCTTATTCTACTTTTACTAAACGCTCTAACTTAATTAATAACGTAAATAATAAAAGTAACGTTATATACTCTTATAATTACGCATACTTATAGCGCTTTATAATATATTAAAAATTAAAATAAGTATTTATAAACTAAAACGCTAATAAGTTATTAATACGAATATTAAGGAGCTATATAAAAAAAGTCCTTATTACTATTAAATTAAGTAAATAGAAATTACTTTATAATAAGCTTAAAAAAGCTAATTAACTAAAGAACAATAGAACCCCTAAAAAACTTAGACTTCCGAAAGGATCTTCTAACTAACCTATAATAAGCTTATTAATAGACTAGGACGAGGGTTACGTAATTACTATACTTATAAAGAATTAGGACTTAAAAATAAACGTAATTTTTAGTACCCCTATAAATAGTACTTACCCCCTTTTTTAGAGTATAATAATAAATAGTTATAAAATAATATATTTAATTAATAATAAGAGCCTATTTAAACCCGAGAATTATATATTATTAAGTAATAATAACTACGTTAAATTAAGAACTATTATACTACTTATTATTATACGTAGTACTCGTATTATAAAGGGCGTTTTAAACGGATTTAAAAAAAAAAGAACTTACGATTTAAAGCTCTAGAACGTTACTTATATTAAAGGATTTTATATTAATATAGTCTTAGAGACTTTACTAAATAAAAGTATATTTTAATATTATAGTCTAGATTATACTTTATAATAGGGAACGCTTTATAAAAATACTATTAAAAAGTAGCTTATTTAAAAAAATAATCTAATCTTCTTTAAATATAAGCTCCTCTAATCCTATCCTTTTTTTATAAACTTTAAGTATATTTTATAGAGCCTAGTTAGTATTATATTACTAGTTAATTATAAAAAATTCTATTACTTATATTAACGTACTTATAAGAGGTTTAATAGCGCGCTCCTTTAGTACTTTAAAATAAGTTATTTAGGACCTAATACTCTTTATTAATTACTATATAAAACTCGAAGTATATATATTAAACCTCTATTATAAATTAAGTATAAAATATATATATTATCCAAAGCTAAAATAATAATTTTAAAAGGGCTACCCTTAAGAAGAGCTTTACGGCTATAGTACCGTATATACTAAGATCTCTTTTATTTCGAACTATTTTTTAGTAAATAATAATATATATTTATAGTTTTTAACGAATATAATAAGTAGCTTAGGGGGTTCTTTTTAAGGATTAAAATAGAGGAGGAAGTGCTTTTCGTATTATAGAGCCTCGAGGTAGTAATTTATTATTAAAAAAGGACCCTAATTTACTTTTTTAAAAATAATAATAAAACCGCCCTTTTAATTATAAACGTTAAACGTATATATAAAACGTAGTATAATAAGCTAAGAATTAGAATAGAACTTCTACTTTTATATATAAAAAAACCCGTAAGTAATACTAAAAAAGTAAGTTAACTCGTAATTACTAAAGCTCGTAAAATGCGCTTTTTTATAAACCTTTCTATAAATTTATAGGATAAAATAGTACTAATAGTAATCTTTATTTATAATATTACTTTATAAGAGGCTAATAAAGGAGATTTGCTTATTATAATAGAAATTAATTAGTAAAAGTAGTATTAACGCTAGTAGTAAACGGGTTACTAAGTATAGGATTCTAAACTAGTTACCCCGTATCTTAGTAATTTTTATATATATAGTTACTAAGTATACCCTTTTTATAAAAATCGTAAGAAAGGTATATGTTAAAAAGAGTTTAAAATACTTCCCTACG